CCACAAACGCATTTTTTCGGGTGTTTATATGTAAACACCCGATAACGCCGGGGCCTCTGCGCCTACAAGTACCCCCCCGCCCCGCACTCCCCTCTAGCCCCATGGGTTAGAATCGCTATAGTATACCTACTAAAATTGTAAAATTGTGTAATCCTGAATAAATAAAGTCATACAGAGAGCGGGGGTTATAAAACTCAGAAGAAATTTTATCTTTGATTTCTTTAATAAAGTATTTTTCGTGATAAACGTTTATATCAACCTATTTTATTTATTCCATCTCTTTAAATTAATTTGGTTTCTCAATCTTCTTAGATATTTTATACCGCAATCTACATGAAGGATATTACGTTATTCTTTATATACAAAAATAATTATAGGTTTGCGAATACGTTGGAAATTACTTATATTATTTCAAATAAAATTATTTTGTCCCGAGGTGAGATATCAAAGAATTTATGTTCAACAGCGCCGACGGTAACTTTGAGGTGACGTTGGCAACGAAGGCGACTCTCAACTATACGGGCAGGGTCGAGTGGAAGCCACCAGCTATTTATAAGTCTTCCTGCGAGATCGACGTCGAATATTTTCCCTTTGATGAACAAACGTGCATGATGAAATTCGGCTCGTGGACTTATGACGGCTTCCAGGTGAGAACTGTCTGTTATTTCGCCAATATTTCGGAAATTGCCTTCCATTAGCCAAACGCGTAACCAATCGATTTAACTGTTGCAGAAAAGCCATTTGTTTCTATTGTAAGTTAAAAAAAGAATTGATACAAATAGAAAGGTATATCGTACGTGAAAGTATACAGTACCAAGGATATTTATATTGTATTTTATTTCCGGTGATCTTTTTCTTCGTGAATCAAGAGTCTGATAAATATTAGATCTTTTCCATATTCAAAAAACTTTTTCTTATGAGATATGTGTTCTTCTTATATTAGATGAACTATTCAATTAATCTTGACGATTCAATAATCAATTTATTAGTGCAACAGGAAGATCTCGCAGAGATCTCTTTTTAGGGCAACCACAAATATTCCGAGAGTGACTTTCGTGATACGTTACGGTGGGAGTATTATTGTCGCCGGCCGTTAGACACCGTGTAGTAAACGATCGTATATATCGCTTGTTATTTTTTTTGAGTAAAATGTCGCTTGTTAGAAGCACGAAATCGAGTATAAGTGATGGGCAGACGGAACGTTGAGGTAAAGAAATGAGACGGTGAAACGAATTAACGTCTGACCTACATTAAGTATTATTAATATTATTTAGTATAAAAAGTGTTCTCGTTTTATGTGCTAATGTAATCTATCTCTGCCTATGCTAAAGCCTTACACATTGTAATTAATTGCTCCGATTTAATTTCAAAAAGAAAACTGTACTCAATTTGGCCTACCTAAGCTTTATGATTTTTGCTAATTTTTGCTGAGTCCAAAATTGACAACTAATGGTCAGATTCAAAAGAGAAAAGATTTTTTAATTAAAAGTATGAGATATTTTCAAATATTTACATGAATGAAGATTTTAAGAAAAAGTAGTATTTAAGTTATATTGGTGCATATACATATTACTTAATACATTTAATGTATATTTATCCCTTTTTTATTTAAAAAAAATGATGGAAAAATTAAGTTATTTATATAATACTACTTTTCTAAGATTATAAGTTTATTAACATTTGCATATTTATTGACATGTATAAATATACAGAAAACTATTTTCCAAACAATTGATTTATCTATAAAGTATTTAAAGCCTTTTCAAGTCAATAACACCAGTTGTAAACGTGTGATAAAATCCTCTTTATTATAATGTACGTTTCGATCCTGTGAATTGGATCCTTCTCAACATTCTTTACGTATATATATCGATATCATTGAGTTCCCTAAAACACTACATACTAATCAATGTCTATTACCTCTTCTCTTCTTATAGATATAATATCAATTTAGTTACACAAATTTCCTTACATGATATCTTAAAACGTATCTATAAATCTCTCTGTAATGTTCATGTCTGATGTTAACGTTCTACTAAACTCGTTCAAATATAATTCAATTATTATTATCTCCAACCTCTAATCATGTGTCATACATTCGCCGACTATTATAAACATTCACGGATACATATTTATATTTTCGCTAATAAACATTCATATGCTGAGCTCAGTTTTTCCGTATCATTTGTAAATTCAATCCCCTCTTTTGTTTATTAATGTAAATCATTTCAGATGTAAGTCGTTTATTTAAAATCACCTCCTCGTCCAAAATCTCAATATCATCCCATTTACATTCATGTGCAAAATTCATCCTATGCTCTGTGATTACTGATTTTTGATTCGTATTCCAATTGATATGATTCTTATGTTCTGCAATTCTATTTTTTAAATTTCTACCTGTTTGGCCAACATAAGTTTCTGTGCAGTCTCTACAGGCTATTTTATATACGACATTACTATATACGACATTGATTTATCTACTTATCTCCACGATGTTTAACAAATGGATTAGAATCTATATATGGCTTGAATTAACAAAAATACCAAAATAACATTAGACAAAAACATCACAATTGAGGGGCTGGATTCTATAATGGGATACGCGTGGATTTCGCGGGATAAGTATTGTCCGCAAGGACTAATTTTGGATGTCGCTCTAATTTCAATTTTGACGACTGATTCTTGTAGAGAATTTCATAGTCCATCTTTTTTATTTTCATTAAACCAAATTTGGAATTTTTTTTTGTTTTCAAGTTATAAACAAAAAAAGTAATTTTTTAATAAGTTTCAACAAAAAATTTCAATAAGTTTTTGTGTTCAACTCGCCATATCTCAGCTAAATATGAATATTTTTCTTTGAAATTTTAACAGAGTAAACTTCCACATGTTTCTCGAAATATACAGCATATAAAAAGTTTTCGAAACATTTCATAGCCAAATGCCGAATTTTTCAAAATATTCCTCTCGAATTCGTAGTTTTATTCATTCGATCACAAAAGTTATCGTACGAATTTTCGATTTATCAACTTTTACCCATACTACAATTTTGTTTATTAGTTAAGGAAGTTTTTTGGAAAGTTTTAACTTTTTAAATATTATGGTTGTAAAGTAATAATTATTTATACGTCGATCCGATTACGTAGCGCGCTGCGCGCAATGCGACAGTTCGAGCCGTTCGCTTCCGCGAAAAAACGGAGCATAAAAATAATAAATAAATTTTATTAAATTTATAGAAAATAAATTAAAAAAAGAAATTTAAATAAATAAATTTTTAAATAAATATATTTATAAATATATATTTTTAGATAAATTTTTATTTTTATTACAAAAACAGCTTTTTAGTACTTGTTGTCTTACGTTAATAAAAAATGTTGTGCAATTTCAATAATGTAAGTGTTTTATTGTAATTTCATATGGATTTCATAATACATATAATTCTGTACGACGTATGAATTAATTCAATAAATAAAATGATGAATATTTGCTATTATATAAAAAAATGTACTCACTTCGTTTTTTGTGTATTAACATTTCGTAGAATAATATCTCATTACATACAACGGAAAGGAGTATGTTTATTCGCTAATGGATTAAAAATACGCTATATGATCAATTTTTATTGACAATTTTTATTAATATGATACTCTAATTCTTATTTTGTAACTGTAAACAATTAAGAAGTTGAAAAAGATTTTGGGAGCCTTTAAGTATATTATATTTTGGTACATTATTGATACCCTTGTTTCGCGGAAGCGAACGGCTCGAACTTTCGCATTGCGCGCAGCGCGCTATGTAATCGGATCGACGTATAAATCTGGAGACACTGGTCGTGTCTCGGCGCTAAACTGCGAGAAGCGACGCTGCCGTGCCTCCTTTACGTGAACCGACGAGTTGCGGCAGATCGAGATTATCGGATCTCAATAACGGCTGAATCGATCGCGTTCTATGTATGCTCAATCGATAGCCACCACACGGATTGTATGATAAAAGTGCTTTTATTTTTTTTCTACGTGCCCTACGAGCGGAGATATCGCGACGCAAAGTCCGGAGATCTGTGAATTTTCACCTCATCTTTTAAGAAACGTCGTCGTCATTATTATCGTTATTATTGTCATCGACCAGGAGAAAATGTCCATCTCGTTTTTTCGACACTAGAGGGCTTTTGACTTAACCTAGCGATGGCAGCATTGCACATTCAAATGTGATCAACCACACATGACGGCTGAGATAATCAGCGATGGCAACATTGTCAAATTATACGATGTGACGTGCACGCGGCGCATTATTATTTTATTAATTGAAATTAAAATGAAATATAATTAATAAAATAAATTATAAAATAAAATATTAATTATATAATTAAAATGAAATATCGAGATTGTCGTTGAAGATCTAAGTAGTTACCGCGTCGAGGAAGAGGGTGTATAGATATTAAGGAATTAAGCGTCTAGGTGTTCGCCGTCGAGGAATTAAGCGTCTAGATGTTTGTCGTCGAGGAAATGGATGTCTAGATCGAAGAAATGGGTGTTTAGGTGATCGCCATCGAGGAAGTGGGTGTCTAGGTATTCGCTATTGGGAAAATGGGTGTCTAGGTGTTCGCCGTCGAGGAAATGAGTGTCTAGGTGTTTGCTGTCGAGGAAATGGGTGTCTAGGTGTTCGCCGTCGAGGAAGTTGGTGTGTAGGTGTTTGCCACCGAAGAAATGTGTGTCTAGGTGATCGCCGTCGAGGAAGTGGGTATCTGGGTGTTCGCTCTCGAGGAAGTGGGTGTTTTAGGTGTTGTCTACATGTTCGCCATCGAGAAAGTGGGTGTCTGGGTGTCCACCGTCGAAGAAATGAGTGTCCAGGTGTTCGCCGTCGAGGAAGTGGGTGTTCTAGGTGTTGTTTACATGTTCGCCATCGAGGAAGTGGGTGTCTAGGTGTCCGCCGTCGAGGAAATGAGTGTCTAGGTGTTCGCCGTCGAGGAAGTTGGTGTCTAGGTGTTTGCCATCGAGGAAATGAGTGTCTAGGTAACCGCCGTCGAGGAAGTGGGTGTCTAGGTGTTCGCTATTAGGGAAATGGGTGTCTAGATATTCGCCGTCGAGGAAATGGGTGTCTAGGTGTTCGCGCTATTGAGGAAGTGGGTGTCTAGGTATTCGCCTTCGAGGAAGTGAGTGTCAAGGTGTTCGCCTTCAAGAAAGTGGGTGTCTAGGTGTTTGTCTTCGAGGAAATGGGTGTCTAGGTTTTCGCAAACTCATTCTGACAGGTTTGACTCTAGATAGCAAGAGGCAAATATGGCATTTAGTATTAACCGTTAAACTGTTCAGATTAGAATCTGTCACATCGATGGAACGGAGGAACACGTATGAACACGTAAATGAGGCTAGAATAAATATTCTCTGCTGTAAAACACTTTTTCCGGTGTAAGAATACATTTTCTACTCTGGTAGATAATTTCAATTAATATTATCTTATAAAATTTGTAATAACTTTTATTGCAATATTCTTTCATACGCAGGTTTAAGAAAGTGTCTGCAATGCAGTAGAAAGCGTGTATTTATATTTTTATTTATAATTTGTTCTCTCTATATTTTATAATTATAAAAGAATTTATTGTTTGTGCTGTTTATTTTCAGATTTATTGAAAGAAAAGACTTGAATTTAAAAGATA